CGTTCCAATATGCGTTTTTGCTGCCTTTTGCAGCGCTCTAGCGCTGCACGGCAAAAACGCATAAAATACGGCCGGACTTCCTGCAAAAAACCGGTAATCATGCACCTGGATGTTCGTGCGGCTCTGTAGTGCACCAGCTTCATCCCAACTGACGCCCTTCCTCCTGCATGCCGGAAGGGGCCAATGCACTGCCAATACGAGCTCAAGTGTTAGGCTACAGCGTAGGGATCATTCTTGCTAATAGCGATCTACGAGTTTAATGCAAAAACGTATGATCGCACCGGAGAGCCTGTGCGTTCCAGCCTGGATTTCAGCTGCAAGAAACGGTCCCATTTTATCAAGTGCAACCTATTAAAATAACTGGCCAGCGCACCGACTGCTAGTGCAAAGATTCGTTTTTTGTACGGTTCTTCGCGGCTTTTTGTCGCTAACGGCACTGTTTTTTTCCGGCCGATGCTTCTAATTAAAAGAATTGAGACTGACCATCAGGGCTGCCAGAAATCATACTTTTAAAACTTCAGCTTTCTGGCTTTGCTAGCTTTCTGGTCCGTCAAAAAGTTTTGCGGGCCCTACATGGGAACCACGAGGGCAACAGTCTCCATTCTAGGAATAGGAGTCTGCATAACTTTCCCAACGTTCCAGGCTATTAGTTTTGTAGGTCTCGAGATGGAAAATCGGTACAGACGAGCACACAGACACACACACAGAGACAGCCTTTCGACGGTATGCGTAAAAGTATAAAAACAAATCTGTCCAACCCTTTTTAGCTAACATGCTTAATATAATGCTTTTCTTAGTCTAAAGAAAGGTCGAAGGTTGCGTTCACTTCTTACTATAGGAAGTAAGGTTTGTCTTTTTATGCGTTTTTTGCAGCCATGCAATGCAAAAACGCATATTGACGAGGCGTTGTCTGTGAGCCCGTACGTCTGTGTGTCTGTTTGTGCGTCTTTCACGGACTTTCATCTCGGGACCTATAAAAGCTGCGGGGCTGAAATTTCGGGAACTTAATCTATATGCGTGTATGGGCCCCATCTCAGGGATGGGCGCTCTTACCCGCGTGGTACTCACTTACGGGTGCGTGAAATTCTTTCGCGGGTAAGTCGCTAACTCGAGAACCTGAAAAGCTAGAAGACTGCAATTTTGAGGAGATATCCCCTGTTCACGTAAGTCTCAACGAGTTCAAACCCAGGCGTCGGACATGCGTGGTACCCACGTACCGGCCTGTGGAAATTTTTTTCGAGTAAGTTGCTAACTCAGGAGCCAGGAAAGCTAGAAAGCTGAAATTTTAAGGGGTGTTTCCTGACAGTTCTGGTGGCAAGTCTTAACTC